TCGCACACGGGAGTTCTTTCTAAGCTTTCTTTGATTTTGTGTGCTATGAGAAGCACAGCTTCCATGGAAGTGCATATGTAAAAAAAAAAAATTATCCTGGACTTTTAAAATGCAATTCATTTTGAGCATAGATACACCTGTCATTTAAAGCCGGGAGTCGTCACCTGCGCATGCGTCAGATGGTCATAGCGTGTCATTGTTTACAAACAAGCGTCTATCCAAGAGCCTTTGCATTTTTAGCGTGTGTTATCGTCGCTTGGGACTCAATTCCTGCGCTTGCGCAGGTTACGACCCTCTCGCTTTAACATATATGATACTTTAGAGAGTGCAAATAGGGTACATTGACATTTAAAGGGTTCACTCTGTTTTATTTTGGATACTTTCTGCCTTGTAAACAACATTATTAACCACACCTGGTATGGACCATTTAAAATTGGGTGAGGGTTGGGGACACCGGGAAGAGGGTGAAATTTGTTTACCTATCATATGATTTAATTTCTTTTCCTTTTTATAATAAAAAATGCTATTGTTGTTACACCATATGTTCTTACTATGGGTCCCACACGACATATACAATACAAGTGTACTTTGTTTGTGTACACAAAATTTGAATGCATCCTTGACAGCGACTTTGCCATTTTAGGGAAAAAAACTATATAACATTATTTTTTCTATATATATGTATTGATATACACATGAATTTGCAGGTTGATGTCAAGTTTTAAATTTGTTTGTATAGTATTGTCCCTTGTTTTTTTGGATAGGCCCAGTGTTTGTCTTCTACTGTGTGTGTTCTCGCACTCGTATTGTCTAGCAAAACGTACCATGACCTCTATGAACTCAGAATTCCTGCCATACCAACCAACTTGTGTTCTGCCCGTTGGTACACTTTGCTAAAAAGCATATCGTGTTTTGTAGTGGCCTGTTTACTAAAAGCATTTACCCTGAATTTTAGTAGATATAGGTATATACATGTACGTCTTGTGCAAGCACAGCACCGGTGACGTTAGTACATATGTACCTGGTTAATTGTGTGTGCATTCTGAAATCCATTGTTGAGGATACTGCCCTTGTTCTCATTACCTAGATACTGTCTTTCAGAGGTCATGAAGTTGAATACATTCATAATTTGCATATTTCATATATGGTGTGGTTTCTGATTGCTGAAGTTGGCTCAAATTACAGTAAATGATACTGATAGCATTTTGTTTTCATTCTGAAATTATTAACATGAATTGCATGCTTACATATTGTGGACACAGTGGCATAAGTTGTAGTCTTCTGCTAACGGCTCCTGCCTTGAGTGTATGTGTGTGTGGGAGGGGGGTTTTGGAGCCATCGGTGGAGGGCGCTACAGTGTGCATGAATACATTTAGTAGCAGTGTAATCTATTCTATGAAATGAAAATGAGCTCTGGCTCTTGAAATGAACATAAGATACTGTATTTTTT